CGAAATATGGCCTTATTTGCAACATGAATTCGAAAAATAAGTTTATTTTGAATTTTAATAAACTAAACGTTCACCAAAAAACTTTAGTGAGAAAATCGAAAAAACGAACTACAAACATATTAACGCCAAACATTCGGTAGAATTTATAGAGTATTGTAAAAATTATGGTCTATTACTAACATATATATATATATATATATATATATATATATATATATATATATATATATATATATATTCATTTAAATTTAGAGCTTTCATGTCTTGCTCGATTTTTTTCGACCAGGACGTCTTTGGACGGCCTTTGGGACGGGTGCCAGGTACTTCAACATCTGCAAGCAAAGTTATGGCACTGTTTCCACTTCGTTTGACATGACCAAACCCCCGCAGACGGTGTTGCCGGCATTCGTCCTATATACTAACAGTATTGTAGGTGCGTAAGGAGAGAGCTGATATTTGTTGATGTGTGAAAGTTGATATGTGATATATATATATATATATATATATATATATATACAACAACAACACACGTTTAGACGACATTTTCCCCGAGATCGGGGGTTGCCGTTTGGCTACCTATGATGAAACCGAAATACCCCTCGACGCCATTCCATCATAAGTATTTTATTTGGCTAATTTTTACGCAGGACGCCCTTCCTTACGCAACCACAGTTATAAGCGGTGGGCCTAGCCTTTGATGATCCAACATCACTCATAAGGCAGTGAGGGTCAGTTTAATGTCATAACCAGGACATTGGTGTTTCTGCCTATATATATATATATATATATATATATATATATATATATGTGTGTGTGTGTGTGTGTACATTGATTTTCAGTATTTTTACTTATTTCATTTTTTCTTGAGTTAATTTCAAGAGTGTTGAATATGAGTTTACGATGCTTTCTATTGAGCAACTTTAAAATAAATTTGAATTAATACAATTAAATAAGATAAACTAAAAGTTATGATTTTTTATAATGATTTAAATTTCTAAAACTGACCCAAAACAAACTAGGCTAAAAACCATTAATAAATCAATATAAATGTGAGCAGCATCTATGAAATTAAATTTATTGTCAACTAACCAAATTTTCAGCAATATCTTCTGGCAAATCAACATCCCTGCTAAATTTGAACGAGACCATTGACTGCTTGCTTGTCTCCAGTTGACAGTGAATCACATCCCCATCTGACTCGATGCTTTGAATTGTCAAGTTTGGTAAGGCCAGCCGAGGATCTGAGCGACGAACCTTTTTTGGTTTTGATTTGTCCCGTCTTTTTGCTTTGTCTGCGGACGATGAGGTAGTGGAAGTTGTAGTAGAAGTTGCTGTTACTGTTGCTGAAGTTACCGTGGCAATGGACGTTGTTGACACTGTGGCTGATGTTGCATAACTGCTGTCTACGTCACTGTAAGATTAAGTTTTACAATTTAAAAGTTAAGGTATCTCCATCTATGAGATAATTTAATTATAGTAATAACTATATAAAAACCACTAAACACAAAATTGGACCTGACTAATTAATTTTAAAGCGTTAATGCTCCATACTTCAACAAAATGTAGCCAAACAAACAAAAAAAAACTACAACAAACCTTTCCCTGATGTGCTTCAAATCATCAACATTGGTTCCAGGTGAAGACGGTTGATTCGATTGGTTGACCATACCTACAGGTACAACTGAGCTTGCTGCACAGGTTGTTGGTGGCCACTTATTAGCATTAACAACAGGATCAACCTAAGGGTACAAATTACATATAAATATATCTTCATTCAATACTTTATATATATATATATATATATATATATATATATATATATATGAAAAAACAGCCTGTTCGACGTTAGTTAACTTTAAATTTAACTTTTCGAATTTTCTTATGGTTGATTGTAAATCATTTTCAAGTTTCTTTAGTTCAAAACCAAAATTTTTTTTATTTTATGCAAGATAGAACAGAAAAACTTATTTCGGTATTCCTATACCATCTGCGGTGTACAAAATATCGAATTTTGAACACCGAAGATGGCATTGAAAATGATTTAAGATCAACCGATAGAATATATATGTGTATATATATATATATATATATATATATATATATATATATATATATATATATATATATATCA